TATAATATTTAATTTATCAAATGGAATCCATTCAATTACACAACCATCAATATATTTATTACCACCTGTCCATTCCTGAATTATTTTATAAGGATCACATGACTGACACCAATTTGTGTAAGTATTAGATCGAACACAATTTGCACATTGGCCATAAGAATCTTTTCTTTTAGAAGCAAATTCATCATTACCCTTGTCATTAGCTGTACTTTTTGATACTATCATATATTCACCAGTGACTGGAAATTGTGTTACTCCACATATTTTAATTGCATTGTCTTTTAATTGCACCTGATTTTTAAATTTATAAAATACAAAATATAAATTCATATTACATATTAATTTATTTAAATTCGGTAACATATAAAACAGTAATTATAATACCCTGACCGTATGTGAATAAGTGGAAACGAAGTTTCCGTTAATTCCCAACGGATCCGGATATTATTATTACTAATGTCAACTCACTTCTGTTAAAAGGTCCCGACAACTTGACAACGCTTTAAGTGTAATTCTACATGGTGGAGTACGTGATTGTGTGTATCTATCCTTGTCGCTATTAATTATTCGCATTCCATCTAACCAAGTTGCTAAAAATTTATCACCATTCTTTTGAATATTATTTAATCTATTAGAAGGAATCCACTCAATCACGTCCTCATATTTTGTGGCTTTAAGTTGAAATTCTTTAAGGCATTCAATAATTTTATTTCCACTTGCCAATTTTTGGACTGTTATTTGAGGGTTACACGTCTGACACCAAGCTCTAGATGTGTTACATCGGCCGCAATATACACATATTCCATTCTCTTTATTTCTTTCGGAATGTGACTTATCAATTACTAGCATATATTTCTCGGTAGTTGTATCTTGGGTTAGTCCATATACTTTAAGTTTGTTATCCGTTATACAATCTTTAAACTTATTAAATAGTACAATTTATAAGTACATAGAAATATAAATGATAGTAATCAAGTAAATATGGATTCCATCTGATAAATTAAATATTATAAAGAAGATTGGCAAAGGAGGATTTAGTACTGTATTTTTAGCCAAATGGCAACTAAATGAAAATGAGCATAAACACCAACGATCAAACATGGTAGCACTAAAGACATTATCTGGATTTAAAAAAAATGATTTTCTAAAAGAAGTAAGTTAAAGATATACAGTAATTTAATTATTTTCTTACTTTTTTTATAGAATTATATCTCAAAATTACATAACTTTATTTATATATTAGTTTAAAAATCATATGCGTTGTAGCAGGCTCGTGGTATATGGATTAACTCGAAACACAGAAACGGGAGAATATATGATGGTGTTTCAATATGCTAATAAAGGAGACCTTCATAGTTGTCTAACATTAAATTTTGAAGAACTTATTTGGGAAGATAAATTATCATTATTAGTCGATATTTCGAAGGATTTAATTAAAATTCATGAAGAAGGATACATTCACTGTGATCTTCATTCCGGTAATATTCTACAACATAGAGAAGGATCATGGTTCGGTCCATTAAAATCTTATATATCAGACTTTGGATTATCCAGGAAGAATGAAGAATACAATTTAAAAAATGGATTTTATGGGATTATGCCTTATATTGCACCTGAAGTTTTAGACGGTCAGAAATATACACCAGCGGCCGATATATATAGTTTTGGCATTATTATGGCAGAAATAACTACTGGGATACGTCCATTTTATGAACGTTTATTTGATTACGAGCTTGCGTCAGAAATTCGCAATGGAAAGAGACCTGACTTTGATTTAAAAACTCCTAGCTGCTATATTGAATTGGCAAAATTATGCATGGATCAATACCCACAAAAACGACCTACTGCTAAAACAATTCATGATGAGCTTTCTAAATGGCATAAATGGCAAAGTTTTGTGAATAGACCAGACGAATTTGATGAATCTCACGAACTTGTTGAATCTTGTAGGCCGGATGAATCTAATGAAAAATTACAAATAATTAGCGAATTTATAGCTGCTAATTCAAAGGAACATCCGTATATTGTAAAACGTCAATTTACTAATACACACGACATTACTCAACGTTATAGGGGTGATTATCCCATTTCAGTATTTTAAAGCCATTAAAATTATTCTATTATTTAATATAATGTTTATCTATGTAATACAGATTCTACTCTTAGCGATTTTGAAATTTCAAAAAGACGGAAAACGAGTCAGGGATCATATGTCACATGTTATTAGGTGCGAGTAGTAAGAAAGGGTCTAATATGTGTACTTAATGTGAAGCGAGTATCACAACCCATCCAGAGCTTTATAGCTCGGCCGGTTACGTTTGGTTTCCCCTCAGTTATTATAAGTTATTGGCTCATAACTAAAGGTGCTAGTGATATTAGGCAATTTCACCAGGTGAAATGGTGAAATAATTTCATTAAAATTATACCAAAATAAAATTTTGGTGAATTAGTGAAATTAACGAAATTAAGAATGTCCGCTCAATTTCTATGTAAAGTTTACAAAAGTTTAATTTTTGATGCACCTATCCATATATTAAGGGAGTGTTCTGTACCGTCATTTTGATTGGTTAAGAAACTACCATTCCTGGGGGTCAATCAGCCGGAGAAGTCAAAAAATAAAGAAAACGAAAAAGACAAAAAAACAGCAGTCTAAACCTGTCTTGGGTTACTAATTAAAAATGCCGGGAAGGCAATTTTACCTATACTCCTTTTCTTAATTGTAGTTAACCATAAAAACTTTACTATCACGTGCCGTAGATCCTATTTATGACCAATCAGATTCGCCTATGCAGATTCCGTAGCACAAATCCTATTAATAAATTC